TACTTTATTTATTTATATTGGGAAAACATGTATTTAAAGGCTGTATTTTTCCTTTAATTATCTTTAGAGTTGTCTGCCCCACTCTCTATTAATAAAGTTTTCCTTTAATAATGACAAACTATTAATGACCAACATGTTCCTTTACTTAAACCATTACACTAAAGATGTATCAATATACAGTATTTGTAATATAAGATTTTTCTAGAATTGAAAAAAAATTAAATATTAGACTAATAAAAATAATACAAGAGAACATAATAATCTTTGGGTAAAAATCAGATGTAACAATAAATAAACAATTATATTTAGAAATTTTAACGATACTATTTTGATATTAAGTTGATATTGAATTTCCTATAAGTTTAATATAGTAAGTTACAATTCATATATTAAATTTATTATATATTAATACTATTTCAATACTATTTTGATATAAGTTTGTAACCTTAATTATATTATCATATAAGCAAACAATTTTTAATTATTTTAACAACTATATTAATATTGATTATATAAGAACTATTCTAATTCTTTTTACTACTAAGGTTTCTAAGACTAATATACAATAATTTGATTCAAATTTCTTTTTCAAATATACAAAATAAACTCATAAAATATCAATACATAATTATTTGAAACTGTAAAAGTCAAGAATAAAATCTTTTTATTAAAGACTTTTAAATGTAAACAAGATAAATTTATGATTGTAAAATTATTAGTTGCTTTATTTAAAGGTTAAAAGAGTATTATTAAATATATTTTAATATTACAATCTTTTTTAAAATAATAAAATAAAATAAAAATACATAAAATATTATATATATATTTATATAAGACTTAGTCTTTTAAAATATTTATATATAACAATATAATAAATAAAATATAATATAATAAATAAAATAAAAATAGTAAATAAAACTCCTTATATAACAAATAAGTATATTCATAACCCTCTTATTAATATTATATAATAACATTAGTATGAATATTATTAATAATATAAATTATCTCTTGTAAAACCATATGGCTTCATATCATCAGTTGCTTTAATAATTATAAAATAATCTGAAATTATAAATTAAATAATATTAAATCTATATCTTTTGTAGAATCAATTAAAAAACTTTTTACTAATATAATTAACAAAGGCTTATCAAACCTTTAAAAACTAATATAATACTATTTAATTTCAACTTTTACAAATTTTCCAAATCAAAGCATTATAGAATTATTTATTATTATTAATTCAATAATTAAATAACAAATATCAATAAAAAATTTTTTTAATCTGCTTTTCTAAATATTATCAAAATATAGCATCAAGTAAAATTTTATTTTCTATTACATGGGTTATTTTTTATAATTTATTTATCTTAAAAAAATATTTTAATAATTTTTGATTTTGATTTTTCAATAGATATAAATTTTAATTTCAAATTATTTAAAGATTAATTTTTGAATAATTAATAAATTATATTTTAATTATTTTTTAATATAATTAAAAAAGATAGTATAATAAATATTATAGTTTTTTAAAAATTCTTTTCTTATCATATGCATTTTGTTAAAAAATTTTTATAGTAATTTTAAACAAAAAAAATGTTTTATACTCTTTATTGTAAGTGAGCTCCAGTTTAAGAACTCAGAACCTTTAAAACAATTGGTATAGTGAGATGGAGTTTTTGATTGAAGTCTACTCAAGTTTGAGAATCTTGCTTATCCATTAGTTACATAAAAAAAGATTTATAATAGTTTTTTTTTCTTTTGTTTTCTTGCATTTCTTCTTATTTTTACTATATTATAAAAACTATTTGCATTAATATCATTATATTTATTAAATCAAACACTTTCCAAAAACATATTAAAACAAAGTTATTAAACCTATGTTTGTTTTAACACAATCTTTAATTATAACTCTATCATTATACTACTTACTGTGCTATTTCAAAATTTTCAAAAAACAAAAATCAGTTTATTTTTCCAAATAATTATCACTTTCCAATCATTCAATTAGATTTTATCAAAACAACAAAGCAAAAACTGAACCTGTTCAAACTAGTTTTTTAACACAACAATAACAACTACAATTATTATAACAATAAATAATATCAATTATATTCTATTATCCATATTAACAAAAGTTATGTTTCTAAGACTAGTGCTGATCTATAAAAACAAACAAACAATTAATTAATTAAAATAGAAAATTATTTAATACAAAATTTATAAATTTATTTAATTTGAAAAGTTTTTTGGATAATAAAAATATTTAAATTATATTTTTAATTTTGTATTTAAAATTGTATTTTTAATTAATTATATATAAATAATATAGTATATAGTATTCATTATATAATATAAAATATTAAAAACTTTATAATTTATAAAATATAAATAAATAAAACTTAAATTATAAAAGTGTATGTTTTTTATATTTCTTTTTTTTAAAAGCAAAATTAATTTATATTAAAATAACAACAATAATGTGTTTTAATGATATTTGAAACAATTGTATTTTGAAAATTTGATTTTTAAAATGTTTTTAATTTTACCATTGCAATAAATATAGTGATAATTTAAATAAAATTTTTTACATTTTAATTGATTTCAATTTTGCAATAAATTTCAGATAAACATTATTAAGAATATTTGTTTTTATTTGTTATATATTGATAAATATTTGTTTTACAGTTAAATAAATAATAATAAAATGTTTAATATTTATATGATTGGAGAAAAAAATGGAATAATCTTTTTTAAGTTGTGATTTTGACAACATATTAATAATAATTGTGAATGCACTGTTTTTAAAATAATAAGTAAAATCATATACAAGTATATACAGTATATATATTTGTCTTGTGATTATTCTTTTTATGTATCCATGTGAAATACTGTAAATTGATTTGGTTTTATTTTGTAGGAAGATTTTACTGCAAACATTTTATTATAATTCGAAACCAAGATTTTGATTTTGTCATTAATTTATTGATTGTATTTTCTTTTCTTCCTTTCTTTTTTTAATATAGGACTACAGTATTTGTATAATTACTTTTTTTGTACTAAATTAGTACTGTATATGCAGCTACACGACATTACGGATGAAATTTTTATAACTAATTAGACTAAACTCCGTCAAATGTGTTGAAGCAAACAAAATGGTTAAGGTTTAGAGACAATAAGCACAAATGAAACAATCTTTACGGACAGAAAAATCAATGAATGTTTAAAGAAGTATCTATCGCAAATAAATAATCCCCCAAATGTTATACAGTATATTCTACCGGTATCCACGCGGTCTCGTATTTAAGTTCCAATTTTTGGTTTTGCCTCGATATACAATTTCTGTTAAATTTCAATGAGTACTATCGACCTTTCCAACAGTGAAGACCAAAGCAGTTAGACTACACGGAGAAAGTAATAAATTTTTCATTTATTATATTTGAACAAAAAATACAGTATAAGGAGGATAATAAAAAAATGGTTCGCCATTTTAAGTGGAACGAAAAGAATTATAAATTTTGGGGGTGTGCATAGTCATGCATCTTTTTTCGTAACGTTGTCTATCTACACATAATGTTTAGTAGTCTTTATATGGGCAGTACACTAGAGAAGAAATCAAATTTTCGTTAAACTTTTAAGACGGTTCTTAATCAGCGATATAGACTCCCGTTTTTCGTTTGGTGTGAACATATCCATGCATTTTTTTTTCGTGACGTCGTCTATTTACATCTAACGTAAAGGATGTTTTGCAGTCTTTATATCGGCAGTACACTAGAGAAAAAACAAAATATTTGTTAAACTTTTAAGCCGGTTCCTAATCACGAGGAAAAAAACAATAGACGCACGTTTTTCACCAGAATGAGACTGTATGTGGTTTTTTAACTGGCTCGGATAATCGAATAATTTTCTGCATTGAAAACATATGCGCTTATGAACAAGTTTACGGATATTTAGCATATTTAATACTTCTTTGTCAATTAAACGGACAGAGGTAAGTTTGTTACTAGCATCTATACGGTAAACTACATAATATTGATGAATAAATTTTAACAAGTTTAAGTTTCTTTTAATGATGTGACCCGTGTTTTCAGCTATGCCCAGCGAGCTCAAGCCTTTTCCAATGATGTGACTCGTATATTCTGCCACACCTAACGAACTCAAGCCTTCTCCAATGATGTGCCTCGTGTTTTTGGCTGCGCCCAGCGAGCTCAAGCTTTCTCCAATGATGTGACCCGTATATTCTGCTACACCTAACGAGTTCAAGCTTTTTCCAATGATGTGCCCCGTGTCTTTGGCTACACCCGTGTTTTCGGCTACATCTAACGAACTCGAGCCTTCCCCAATGATGTGACTCACGTTTTTGTCGATAAAATCTAATGAATACAAGCCTTGTTTGACAACATAACCCGTGTCGTCAACGAAGCTTGACGAGTCCAGACCTCTTATATTAATATAATTCGAGTTTTCGACAAAGTTTGGTGAGTTTAAACCTCCTTCATTGAAGTAGTTTCCATCATTGAATTGACTCGTGTTTTCGACAAAACTTGACAACCTAAAGCCTCTTCCGGCGATATATCTCGTGTTTTCAATATCTATCAAGTTCAAACTTCTTCCAGTGACATATCCTTTAATAATACCCGAATCCAGTGCGTTGCTATCGAGACATACAATCATATATAGGCTGGTTTCTGGACATGGTGTGGGGGCACTATCAATGGTGCCGTTAAGGGTATATACACCAAAATCGCTTCCACTTGCGGAATGGAGAATTACATCGATAGTAAGGTTTTCTGGGTATACTTCAGAGCGTGCCATTTTTATTTACGACAGCAATGCGAGAAGGTTGTGATCTTTAATGATCTTATTGTTTATATCTTAATAACCTTATTGTGAAAATATCTGATTTTAAGGTCAAGGGCAGGTAAATTATATGGTCGCATAATTTATATATGTTTTTTTAAAATGATTTTAGGTGCCCGCATCTTTCGATAAAACACGATTTGGTTACACGTCGCGAATTGATTTTCTAACATACGTAAACAATTAATGTGTCATACCTAAACCCATTATGAATTAATAACAAAATAATTTTTATAATATTCCCAAACTTTTACGATAAACTTGCACAGCATTAAGATTATCCAATAGGGTGTTATGCACATTCATTCACTCAATGTACTGCATGTCTGAATACTCTAGACAATAGAGACGCCAAATTGTGCAACCTGTGATTTTTGACGATCCAACACATCTGAGAGGAAATGCGGCTGTATCTTAATACGGTCAACTCTCGATAAAAGAAACTGTGTACAAATAGTCTATATATGTTGATGATCAATGCATTAATTGAAAGTA